GATACTCATAAGTATACACTCATTTATTTACAACCTCTACAACATGGAAAAACATGGGCGAGCGAGTTTAATTTTAAAGTTTCCGAAAACAATTTTTTTCATTTTTTATCCTTGGCATATATTCATAACAACTGCATGTTTAATTTGGTCAAATCCTTTGAAGGATGGATGGATTGATGGATGGATAGATAGATGGAAAAGTAAATGACAAGTCACCTCTTTGATTGTGCTTTGAGTTGGTAGTAATTCTACAAAACCCGCTGAAAATAAAATGTCGAAATAAACAACTAGGAAAAAGAAAGTTATTATTCATTTGATCATGAAATAGAAACGAAGACGTAAGTGAGATTTATGATAATTGTTTTACAAACGGAAATCATTTATAAGCTGCATGCTTGCTCTGTCCAACATCAGTATGTATGACACAATCATACACGTGCATTTGGACCAATTCCCCATAATTACGTTTATCGCGTTTTGTAAAATTCACGATTCGTACGAGGTTTTCGAACAGCTGCGTTGTTATCGTAACAATGTTGCGTTTTGGCAAATGTCTTCTGCTTGGGTTCAAACCTGTACCAACATTATTGTTTTGTATACAGTTACTTTAAAACTGATAACTTTCTTTTGGACGGTAGTTTAAATAACAATAGGAAATGAAATCTCGCGCCGGTTAATGCATCTGAAATACGCACCAACTGTTCAAACAAGATCCTGCATACATGATACACCTGAGATATTCATGAACCACATGTCTGTTGATTGTCAAGAGGACAGTGAAGAAAAACACTTGACAAAGCAATTTGAAAGCAGTTAAAGGCGCAGTCTGATGATCCGGGAATGTCAAATAAAAAGCTTGTTATTCAATTTGTTGTTTATATGCAAGAGATGTTACGCGTGAAAGGTTGTACTCATACAGAATGTATTGAGTGTATAAACAGACTTATCTAGCTATTGTTAAGGGAATGTGTAAACAGCTACCTTTACATGTATATTAACCATATAGGCATCCAACTGGCTGTTGCCATGTGTTCCTCTGTGAAACGAAAGTTTAAACCTCGCCAAGCTATCTGACTTCGATCTTAGTTCACCAACTCAGGAATCATTGTCTTCTTCCGCCTCCTCTCTTCTCTGCCACTGTTTCTACATCGAGAGCGTCTGTTTGGAAGCATTAAAAAGGGAGATCATGAATTATGTAGTTACCAAACAGTGTGTAGAAGCTGACAAAAGAAACACGTGAAAAATTTTTGTTTCCGACTGTCCAGGTACATCTTTCCATCCGGAAGACAGGCACACTAAGTTGTGGAGACGTACGGCTCGAACCGGGAGACTAGCAGCAAAATGACAAATGAATCCCAAAATTAACTATACACCTAAGCAAAAGTCATGCACAGCCCACTGTATAGAAAGGTTGCGTTACATAGAGCTCACTATGAAATATATAATCATATGCACCGTTTCTACAATTGATTATTTACCTAGATCTTGTCTTTCTTGAGCATGGGACATTTGATGCTAAAAAGCTGATACAGCGATGTTTTGAGCGGCATCATTTAATGACCATAAAAGCCCATTGATTCACATGACGCAAAAGTATTGTCCTAAAGAGGCTCAACATGGCGGTAACAGAATTCTTCTGCAACAAACAAACATCAGACACATGACATTTTTACAGTGTATCCCCCTCTGGCAGCAATGGTGTCTCTGACACGTCGTCTCATGCTCTCGGTGAATCTTCTGAATGTCCTCATATTGTTTCGTGCGTCACTCCTCCACTAAATCCTGAGATAAATCTTGCAGTTTGTTAATGGGAGGATCTCCAGGGGATTCCGGTCTGGGCTTCGAGCTGACCATGGCATCGTTTCAATCGCATTGTCTGCTGGCGAACTGCGCGTGCGCAGCGGAGTCGGGCATTGTCGTCCATGAATACTGGGCGACTGGCAAGAACAGGGTTGTCAAAATTAGGCACCATATGTTGATTCAGGATTTCATTTTGGTACCGCTGTCGATTAAGAATCCCATGAATGATAAACAAACAAATCCAGTTTACAGTAACAAAAACAAACAACTCCAAACAGTAGACCCACTCCATGACTCGTCCTCAACCCAAAAGGACTTCTTCCTGTATATTTCCGAGGCGGTAAACTGTTCCTCGTGACCGCTATACCATCGCACGACCATCAGTGACGTGCAACAAGGACCGACTTTCGTCGGACCAGTGAATACGGCGCCATGACCTCATGTCAAGTTCTGCCTTGCCATGCACCAATTTATAATATCTTGTTTGTGTCTAGGGGTCAATAGGGGTCTTCGAGCAGGACGTCTTGCCCTCAGACCAGCAGCACGGAGACGTCTTCGCACAGTTCTTGGGGAGGCTCTCTGGTGTGGCCGCCATTGGTTCCGTGACTGAACACTGCTGATGAACGGATTGCGTCAGCCATCCTGACAAGAGCCCTGTCTTCCCTGGCATCTGTTTTTCTCTGTCGCCGTCTGTCTGCTAGCATATGGCTGGTATTCAACTGTCTGCCTATAGCCCGACATGAGATCCCGGTTCTATGCCAATAATTTGCCATTTCATTCCTTTAGACAATTTCGGCCTCATTTTACCACAGATATCAATCCGAATTTGAATATCGCCGTCAATATTGCTTCACAGTAAACATCTGTTTATCTGTATTGAGGGCGCGACCGTCCTCGCGTGCTTCACCCGCATGTGAAACGTCTCATGCAAAATGCTTTATGCTAATATTACGCAAAAAAAAGATCTCTTCGCTGGGTTCAACTATGAACGAGATCACGTCCGAAATCAATGATATATTGCAATTAATATTTGGTTGTGCATGACTTTTGCAGAGATGTATATGTTTACGGTACATATACACGGTACTTCAGAGGAATAACAATGGCATACAAGCGCTAAAGATGCAAAATGGCCATGCAAAATAGAAACACCTGTTACAACAATAAAGTATTGTTTATAGAATGACAGTCGTCAAGCTTCCAAACTAGGCCCAGAATGGGCACCCAAGCTGAAAATGATGATCGAAACAATGTTGGCACTGCTATTAATATGAGATGACAGAAACTGTAATGAGAGATGACCCTTCAGATACACGTTTTCGCTTCTGGAACATTTTGTAACACTTTGTTTGCTTGTTTGTTTAACACCACACTCAACGATGTTCCAGCTATATGGCGGGGGTCTGTAAAATAACGCATTTGGACCTGACAATCAAGTAATAAAAATCATGTGCAGTTGGGATACGATGACATGTGTCAACCAAGTCAGCGAGCCTGACCAGCCGATCCTGTTAGTCGCCTCTTATGACAAGCATGGTTTACTGAAGACCAATTCTAACCCGGATCTTCACGGGTAATCTTGTAACATGCTTGGTGGGGCAACACGGGAATTTTCTGGCTGCAATGGAAACGTCCACTGCCGTCTTGATCAACGTATCTGTCCTCAACTGAGTCTTAACAGAAACAACGTAATACAGTTACAACACCGTTTTAAAATGGATATCACAAAATCAATTTACGATTCAGACCACACCAGGAGCATATCTTTATGTACCACATTGAAATAGTATTGGTACCAGGTGTAGGAAACTTGACCATATCGGCCCATTCATGTACATATGGAAGTCGATGTGCATGTCTTACACACACACCAGTACCACATGGTTATTTCTGCTTGTTGTTTTCTATGACAATACCTATTTATGGATAACAAATAATTCAGGTATGAACATCTTCTAGTTGTCACACGAAGAGACTGTAAACAAAATAGCCATAACATTTTACAGAAAATATGAATCAACCTTCTCATTCCGAAACTTTGTCTATACTTTTTCAGCTGCGGGCCGGAGACCAGACAGCATGTGCTATTTCTATTGAATGTGCGTTTCATGTCCCCGCAGGCTAAAATTTTAAAGAATTCAACTTCAGGTGACCTCCACTTCGTCACGTACACTTCGGCATCAACATTTCCACCGACTGTTATGGAACGCGGAAACTCACTGGAGAAGATTATAGAATCAGTTTCGACAAAAGGTTCGAAAACACTGTCATTGCTTATACCGTTTATTTCTTACCTCTTACATTACACTGACAACTTTTCTTTGAAAAGAGACTCTAGTATTTCTTAAAGAACAGACTTGAACAAGCAGGTCATAGTTCTGAAAAGTTCACCTTATTTCACTTTATACATATAATTGTCTCTACATTCTTAGCGTTGCACAAAATGTACCCTCAAAAACTTGATTACGAGACTGACAGACGTTACAGTTATTTAAAGGTGTACTGTTTGACGCAAATGCTCTAATACGTTTCTTGTATGATGCAAGATTTATAACTGATTTGAATAACATATTTACTACTTCAAGGAATATTCTCATCAGTGATGCTCAAACCATTTGAAGCCGCTGGCAAGTTTAGGAACCTCACCTCACGTCTGACAGAGGTCATCGACAAAGCAGGTAGAGCAGTTGTGGGCAGATCCATGGCTGCAATATGCAACTTGAAGAACTGTGACGCTCGTCCCGATACCGTTATCTGTGACGCTCTGTTGATATCGAAATCCATTCCTCCAACACTGCTCACCTTCATTGAGGACAACGAAGACAGTAATGGAAGTATCTCAGCCTTTAACATCGAGGGCACAGATGACTTAGAGGAGGAAACACAATACAACAAATCCGTAGCCAAGGCATTGACGTATGCACGATATTTCACGGATGAACCATTTGATGTGATCTACGGAGTTATCAGGTCCGAAGATACTCAGACAACCAAAGCATTTAACAGGAGACTGTCAACATTGAAAGAAGAGACATCAACATATAGTATTGGTAGTAATCTGTTGATGTCTGAAGAAAGATGTTTGAAAATCCACAAAGCCTTCATCATGATGTCTGCTCTATCTGACCATCGGTCATTGGTAACTGATGAAGAGGATACTGGCATGGCGTCCCACTATGTTACACCAGTGGACATGCACCTTAAGCTAATGCTTCACATAGATTCCATCTTCAGTGCGAAAAATGAATCACACAGAGACGAGACTCTGAATTTACTGTTGAATGAACGAATCTCTAAAACAGGAAAAAGGGAGGTGGACAGGTGGAAAAGGTAAACAAAGTTTTACATTTCTGTTGCAAACGTACGAGAGTAGAGCTACAGAAGAAGATATCATCCTTGTATCAAAATGTGATAATAATAATTTAATGAGCTTTTAGAGAATAGGTTCTATTACCGACCTTGATATTCATCATTTCTTTCACAATACTTAAAATATATGAAAAAAAAGAATCTGGCATAGATGAATAAGATTATTATCATGTGTTTCTAACACAATACTGAAGCTTAATGATGTGATGATGTGCAACATTGTCTGATATGTTTCAGTGGAACGGGTACGGCAGATGATGTAAACATTGGCGTACAGTCTGTATTAAAAGAAACACGACAACGTGACAAAGGTACTTTGCTTTTTGATTTATCTCCTGTCTGAATTGTGAAAAATAAAATCATCATTCCTTATTAAAAGATCATACATCGTTTATTCCTGATATTCCTGATAAACTAAACTAGCCAGGCATATAATGATTATATACTACCCACATAAAGAAACTGTGCATTGTCAACATATTATCCCAGTTGATAAGTACGATAACAATGTCAAAGGTACATATAAACTTTAATGGAGGTATCATGAGACCATAACAAGTCGGGAGAATTTCAATTGAAAAGTCAATCACAATGACGTCACGAGTCCACAAGCGGGACAGGGGTCTAACGACCATGTCACAAGCTCAATAACGGGTATGTCCACCATCGGCATTGAGAACAGCAGTGCATCGAGGACGCATAGAGTCTATCAAACGTGCAAGGAAGACTTGTGGGCTGTCACGCCAGATTCTCTCAAGCTCTGTTGCAAGGTCAAGGACGTTATCTGGCGGATGAGGAAGACGGCGTAGACGTCGATCCATCTCGTCCCAAACATGCTCTATCGGGGAGAGATGCGGTGAATTTGCAGGCCAAGGCAGTAAGTCAACGTTGTGGTGTTGCAAGAAATCCATAGCAACCCTTGCCGTATGAGGGCGGGCATTGTCCTGTTGGAATGTTAACCCAGGGCCATGACGTTGCAAAAAAGGAATTGCCACAGGTCGAAGAATCTGATCCCTGTAGCCCACACCAGTTAAGTTGCCCTGAACAATCACCAAAGGAGTTCTTTGGCGTGCTGTTATTCCACCCCAAATCATCGAGGAACCACCACCAAAGCGATTCCTCTCCAAGACACAGGCCTGTGCATAACGTTCTCCCACGCGTCTATAGGCACGTAGACGTCCATCACTATGGGAAATGTTAAACCTGGACTCATCTGTGAAAACAACATTTCTCCACCAAAACAAGGGTCTGCGGACATGATTTCGGCACCACATTCGACGAGCTTGTCGATGACGTTGTGTCAGGATAGGTCGTATGGCGGGACGTCGTGGTCTGATGCCGTGATGACGTAAACGTTGTCGAACTGTGTTGGGGTGGATACGGCGTAGTCCTTGATGGTTCGGGCAGTCATTACTGCAGTCTGAAACCTGTGGCGAAGATGGGTCACCCTTATCCATCTGTCCAGTCTTGGCGTTGTGACGCGTGGACTTGTCGTTGAGACATTCCCCCACGGACCATCCCAATGGCCTCATGACGTTGTGCAGACGTGCGCCTTGGCATGCTATGCTTTTAGTTCTTGAACGATCGCAAGGGCAGGGGTTGAGCTTTCCAAAGTGACAGTATTGTGTGGCATTCATTTGCTCTGTTTCTCTTTCCCGGAACGCACGTGCAACAACGTATTGCACGTCTCAAGGATGAACCCACTGACGTCACGGAACGTGGCACGTGCATGCATGTTGGATACATGTCACTAATCTCTGAGTTTAAATCCTTATGTGTCTACACAGGTTTGATAAATTTAGATTTTTAATTTTTGTATGCACAGTTTCTTTATGTGCCTAGTATAATTATGTACCCGTAGATCGGTTGGAAACATATCATCTGTGGATACTTAAGGGGCGTACAAAAAGTGTTGGATTTATCCTTCACAGGCTAAGATTGACGCCAGCATTTTAGTGTGACGACCAAATGCTTGGTTCACGTACAAGCTGTCAAACAGGACTCATCAACTTTAACAGAAACTTGTCCTCTCCTTTTTACTTGCAGGTAAATACGCAAAACACAATACAATGTGTCTCCGTAGCAGGCCATTGGAACAGATACGACAAAACATGACAGTGAAGGGTATCCGGTTTTCTCGGGATCACTTTGAAACTATGACCGAAAGCATAACTCTATCTGGAAAACCATGTGGGACTGGCTAAAATAGAATGTCATGACGTCATTGTGACTGTTCCGCACAAGATGCTGGTTTATGTACTGGCAGTAGAGCTAGAACTTCAGAAATGTGAAGAGTTTTCCACTTATAAGAAATATTTTGGAACAACCTATCTCGGATCAAACAGAATCGCAGCATGCGCGCAATCCACAGTTGACATTTTAGATTTCAAGTTGCGCGACAAATTAACACTTCTTATAACTATTCCAGATCCGTCAAATATGTTATTCAAAGCTCCAGCGGATTATTCGCTGAACAAAGTGACACACATTGGCAATGATGGTGCTAAGCAAGATCAAATATGGTCCGATGTGAATAGCACTCGTGGTCCTGTTGCTCTTTGCTGTGATCAGTATGACTGTATATATGTCGCCATGAAGAACAACAAGATTGCAGTGTTTGAATATGTTTAGGAGAACTTTAAAGACGTCGAAAATAATGGAAAACATTACAGTGCCTTTATATTGTCTAACAAGGAATGATAAATTGGCCTCCAGTGTCCAATGCGCGGCGTCTGATACCTCACCCGTAGTATCGCGTTTCCAGTCTTATTGACTTGATTGATCATGTGTCGTCACACCCTTGCGGGGTTCCTTGTGGTCCTGTTGCTGTTTGCTTTGATCAGTATGACTGTTTATTTGTCGCCATGAAGAACAACACGGTTGCCGTGTTTGAATATGTTTAAGAGAGTCGATGTCGAAAATAATGAAAACATTACTGTCTCTATTTTCTGACAAGGAGGGGCGGTGGGGTAGCCTAAAGGTTAAAACGTTGGCCCGTCACGCCGAAGACCCAGGTTCGAATCCCCACATGGGTACAATGTGTGAAGCCCATTTCTGGTGTCCCCCGCCGTGATGTTGCTGGAATATTGCTGAAAGCGGCGTAAAACCAAACTCAGTCAGTCAGTCAGTTCTGACAAGGAAGGATAAATTGGCCCCCACTGCTCGATGCGTGTTGTGTGATCCCACCGCGGAGATTAGGTTTCCATACTGATTGACTTGATTGATGATGTGTCGTCATACCCTGGAGTGGTGTACACTGCACAATGTTCAAACATATAAGTTTTCCCAAAGATCGTCTGTTCACCCAGTCGACACACCAGCGCAGTGTATACTGGAGGTCGATAAAGAAGTCGATAAAGAAATCTTTTGTCCAAACTGTTGAGCTTAGAGAGCGTCTGTTCGTGCTCGTGTTTTATATGAATCAAACAGACTTTTGCCAAGAAGATTAACTCAAACTTTAGTTATATCAATGGTCAGTTCGTTCACTAAGTATCTGAAAAAATATTTCTTTCCTTTGATCTACCCGTCTGATGTATAAGACAAAGGGATCAGGTAAATGGGTAATCGTGCGTAAACCCCAAGAATCCTTTCATGTCTAGCACTGGACAACACTTCATAAGACAATGTTTTGTGTACTATCGTGCATGGTCTATCAAACAATGGTCATACTTAAGGTTGGCGAACCACGTCCCACCACGATCATCACAAACACCTGCAACTAGTCACTGTCGATAATGTTCAGGTAATACAATCCTATCAATAGTAAAGGAGGTGAATGTCGGAGGTTTCATCCTTAAGTGACACTTCTGGAAATTGGAGAGACAGATAAGGAAAACCTTTTGGGTTGTATAACTTCTTTATTCGGGTGATGCGACGTTTCGATACAGATTGTTGTATCGTTGTCAAGCAGGTATGATATCATATGTCAGAACTTATTGGACGCATCAGTAAGCAATGCTCCAGCTGTATGATGTTTGTGTGTGAAAAAGGTTCAGCCAGCATAATTGTTGCTAAATACTCCAGCAAGACAAACGCTATCGGGAACGCTGATATATGATCAGCCATGTTGCAGAATATGCCCTCATTCTATAATTCCACCTAAGTACGAGCGGGAGGAACTGGGTCCTGTACTGGGACGAAGGGGACAATGGGAACACATTATTTGTACTTAGCCAGACGGACCAGTAAACAGTACTGATTACCTTCAACTCAGATGTAGAGATATGATTTAAGTGACGTTTTATTGGATTCATGCAACACGGTATAATCAGAGCCTTCTCCATATACAATTCAACATAGATAGCGTGATCAGTGTCCCCTATACAGACAACATGCATGACCCCATGCTGGACTGAGTATAGTCCCCTCTGTATAGAGCATGTAGACATATGATTTACCTGGAACTTCATGGGACTTCGATCTTTGCATTGACTTCAATAAGTGACCGAAAACGTTGGTTACAGCAAATGTATGTGATTTTGGTGTGTTTTGTTCCATATTTTTCATCCAGTAAACTGTTGTGATATCCTAATGTTATTCAAAAGTTCTGTCAGCACTGTGACAGATAAGACGATTCTGAGAGATGCGGCCAATGCTTACTAATTGCAGATAACATTTCATTCATTAGTGTGAACTTATACATGGTTTGCAGGGCTTCTCAGTGACAATATCACTTAAGCGTGTAACATTTACTCTTAAAAAAAGCTTTCAAATTGGACAGGAAGTATAAGCGTTAACAAACTGTTACGGTAGACAACTTAAGAACGGACCTCCATTTCTCTTTATCACCACCCTAAACACAAAGCATGTGATGCACGTGCACAACGCAATAGCCCCATACACGTGCATGATGAGTCATTCTTGATTTTGACGGCTGTCAAGGTCCATCAATCACCGTAGACCATTAATTTTGACCAATCGCCTTGCATCACACAGTTGTTAGTGTTTGTTTCTTTCTAGCAGTGGTTTTGTAGTTTTTTTAAAATGAAAATCGTACACATGCAGAGTTCACGTCATACCCCAATCATCTTTCAAGAGCGTTTACTTTACAAACAACTATGTTCATAAGGAAGTGCAACTGGTGATGCACTCTAAATACTTTCATTATTATAATATAAACATTGACTGATTCCTATATATATCTCCCAAATTTTTGTTCAGTAGTAAATTACAAATGAAGTTCACCCTTTCTGTGAAGTGTATATCTATTATACATGAAATACGATTAATCTTTATCACAGCAACTTTGATTAGAACTCTGCTCAATTATTATAATTATTTATGACCCAAATCATCATCATGATGCCGCATCTTGTACCAGATAAAAAAAATACTCATTATTTCTGTATATTTTACTTAGTTACTTATTTTATTTACTTACTTACCTTACTTTGTTTTACTGATATTAACAACTATACCTTTTTAAACATATTGTAATGTATTTATTCAATGTTAACAATAAATAGTCTTCGGTGTTTATCATAGAGCATCAGCTTTGTCTTCCATGCATCCTTCCCATAGCATCAGCAACCGCTTCATCAACCCTCATTCATCATAAACTGACGTTATTTGTAAGGATGTCCCATAGACGTCCTCATTCCTCCTCGCATTGACAGTTCTTGGAGAACTTTCTGATCAACGCATGAGTTGCATTATTGCACAAAATCTACAACTTACAACCCACTTGTACGTATCCGTATGACAGTGCTTTAACCGTTTCAATTAGCTTTAATGTCGAAGGTAACTATCGCCGCTTAATACTGCACGATATATCGAAAGCTTTGACCAAGGCATCCTGAATGTACAATATAGTGCAACAACCACTACGTTATATTTCATGGTCTAATCAGAGGTCCCTGTATACAACACGCAGTGCGATATACTTCAAAGTATTGCCAACGTCACCTATGTATACAACAAACACTACGTTTTATTTCATGGTCTAATCAGAGGTCCCTGTATACAACACGCAGTGCGATATACTTCAAAGTATTGCCAACGTCACCTATGTAGACAACAAACACTACGTTTTATTTCATGGTCTAATCAGAGGTCCCTGTATACAACTTACAGTGCGATATACTTCAAAGTGTTGCCAACGTTACCTATGTATACATCAACCACTACGCTATACTTCATGGTCTAATCAGAGGTCTCCTGTATACAACATACGAGTGCGATATACTTCAAAGTGTTGCCAACGTCACCTATGTATACATCAACCGCTACGCTATATTCCATGGTCTAATCAGGACCCCTGAATACAAGGCATACATGCGATATACTTCTAAGTGTTGCCAACGTTACCTGTGTATACAACAAACACTACGCTATATTTCACTGTCTAATCAGGAGCCTCCTGTATACAACATACAGTGCGATATACTTCCAAGTGTTCTCAACGTCACATATGTATACAACAAACACTACGCTATATTTCACTGTCTAATCAGGAGCCTCCTGTATACAACATACAGTGTGATATACTTCAAAGTGTTGCCAACGTCACCTATGTATACATCAACCACTACGCTATACTTCATGGTCTAATCAGAGGTCTCTTGTATACAACTTACAGTGCGATATACTTCAAAGTTTTACCAACGTAACCTATGTATATATCAACCGCTACGCTATATTCCATGGTCTAATCAGGAGCCCCCTGTATACAACATACAGTGCGATATACTTCAAAGTGTTGCCAACGTTACCTGTGTATACAACAAACACTACGCTATATTTCATGGTCTAATCAGGAGCCTCCTGTATACAACATACAGTGCGATACACTTCAAAGTGTTGCCAACGTTACCTATGTATACATCAACCACTACGCTATACTTCATGGTCTAATCAGAGGTCTCTTGTATACAACTTACAGTGCGATATACTTCAAAGTGTTGCCAACGTTACCTATGTATACATCAACCACTACGCTATACTTCATGGTCTAATCAGAGGTCTCCTGTATACAACATACAGTGCGATATACTTCAAAGTGTTGCCAACGTCACCTATGTATACATCAACCGCTACGCTATATTCCATGGTCTAATCAGGAGCCCCCTGTATACAGCATACATGCGATATACTTCTAAGTGTTGCCAACGTTACCTGTGTATACAACAAACACTACGCTATATTTCACTGTCTAATCAGGAGCCTCCTGTATACAACATACAGTGTGATATACTTCAAAGTGTTGCCAACGTTACCTGTGTATACAACAAACACTACGCTATATT